AAAGAACCCCCAACGAGATGTATTGGCCAACTGGTAACATCGATGAACTCAAGCATGGCAACAGTAGTGAGGTTGGCCCAGGATCGGGCAGTGTTTCTGCTGTGCTTAGGGTCACTAAGAGGCAGTACCGACTCGATGGTACCTAACAACAACAACAACAATGGCTAGTGTTACTATTGTTTTTGTTGTTGTGAAGTGCCATCGAGTCGATTCTGACCCATAGCAACCCTGTATAGGGTTTCTGAGGAGAAGCTGGTGAGCTTAAAACGCTGACTTTGCAGTTCAAATTACTTTGCAGTCTGGTGCATTAACTCACAGCACTCTGTCTTGGTGTGTCGCTGTGGGCTAATACGTCAGACTGCAAAGACTACAATGTTGGTGGTTCAAGCTCATCAGCCACTCCTTGGAAACCCTATGCAGAGTCGCTATGGGTCGGAATCGACTTGATGGCACTTCACAACAACAGTGGCTAGTGATCGTGAACATTTCACCATTGTTTGTTGGCTTTCTGAATATCTTCCTTGGTGAAGTGTCTGTTCATTCCCTGTGCCCATTTTTTAATTGGGTTGTCTTTTTCTTGTAGAGGCGGTGTAATTTCTTATAGATTTTAGGAATTAGTTCCTTGTCTGATATGTCATTGCAAAATATTTTTTCCTATTCTGTGGGCTCCCTTTTTACTCTTTTGGTGAAATGCTTTGATGCATATAAGTTTCTAATTTTTAGAATGTGCCAATCATCTATTTTGTCTTCTTTTGTTTGTGTAATTGTCACAATGTTTGGTAGTCTGTGTGTGCCCTGCATTGTTGTTGTTGTTGTTGTTGTTGTTAGGTGCTGACTCATAGTGATCCTACGCACAACAGAATAAAACACTGCCTGGTCCTGGGCCAACCTCATAGTTGTTTATACACTTGAGCCCAATGATGTTGCCATATTGCCAATCCATCTCGCTGACTGGGTGTCTTCCTCTTTTTCTCTGACCCTTCACCTTACCAAACATGATATCTTTCTTCAGTGACTGATCTCTCCTGGCAATATGTCCAAAGGATGAGAGACGAAGTTTGGCCCTCCTGACCTCTAAGGAGCACTCTGGCTGTACTTCTTCCAACACAGATCTGTTGGTTCTTTTCACAGCCCATGGCCCTTTCAATATTCTTCTCCAACACCATAACTCAAA